CGGTGTGGGGCCAGAGGGGCCTCGGCTGCCTGCCCCGGCCATCCGTCGCGGCCGGGCTTTGGGGCTGCCTGTGTGCTCGGGGGCCGCCGGGGCAGGAGCCGTGCTCCGGGGCTGAGCCACAGGTGGTGGTGGCATCATGGGTCGGGCTGGAGCCGGGCGCTTGCCTGGAAAGAAAGCTGGGGTGGGTTGGGGTCTCCTCCGCTGGGGTCTCTCCCTGGGGCAGAGGGGGCTGTGGTGCTGGCTGTGGGTCAGGCAGGGGGCTGCAGGCAGACTGACAGACAAGCTGCCTCTTGGTCAGCTCCCATACTGGAGACCCAAGCGCACGACAGCTTTTGGGGGCTTTTCCCACCCTCTCCCTTTCACAAGGGGGCATGAGCTTTGGCACTTCTTTGGGGGGGGGTGTTCACCCCCACACTGGAGGACTGTCCACATCCACCCCTGCAGTCCCACCTTGGCTGGGGATGGAGCACGCAGTGAGGGGCCAGATCCAACCATGCTGCCTCTCATTTGGTGGCAGGGACATCCCCAGCACCCTTTCTCGCAGGGAATGGCCGGATGAAGGCAAACCAGAGCAAGTGGCATTTGAGGGTGCCATCTCCCAAGCACTGTGCCGTCTGGGGCACCCTAACCTTTGCGGGCAGTGTTGTCGGTCATCTGCGGAGCTGGTGGCCCCGCGGCTTCAGGAGACGGTCTGGTCACTGCTGGGGATGCTGGCTGGGACGTGGCCTCAGGGTCCCTCGAGGTGCTGCACAGAGAATAGGGCAAGTCAGGCTTTGGTTGGACGTGGTGGTCCTGGCCGTGAGGCACCTCGCATCCATCTCGTAAGGATACGGCCCGTGGCGTGGGATGAGGGGAGAATATGGAGAGAGCTGGGGCAGCCAGAGCCTCCAGCTCCCGCCAGACTTACGCCTCTCCATCCGGGAGAGCAGGGGTGCCGGCCGGAGGGGGCTCAGGGGACGGCTCTTCCACCAGAGCGGCCTCACCAAATCCCGTATTTGCGGGCGGCGTGAACATGCCTGAGACGTTGAAATCTACCTCTGTATGGAGAGCAAGGAGGAGATCCTGCGAGGAAGCGCCTGCCGTGCAGAGCTTCCCCCAGTGACCCCACAGTGGGGAACCAGAGCAGCCCCCCGCTTCCCTCCTCCCGGGGATGGATAAACGTCCCTTCCCCGTCCTCCCCCCTTCACTCTCTGCTGCAGCCCCCGCCCGAGGCCCTGGCCTTACCTCCAGGGAAGAGGGTGTCCGCGTTCTGGATGAGGGCTTCCACCACGCCCACCACCTGGATGGAGGAGACCGAGGCCAAGTCCAGTTGCACAGGGTCTCTGAGAGACGGGGCGGGGGGAGGCATCAGAAAAGGGTTTTGGGGGCATTAACCCTTTTGGTGTTAATTCCTGAGGGGGCAGAGCCCAAAGGAGAGACAGCCCAGCCAAGGGGGGTGGTAGGGTGGGCGGTGGGCCTTGTTCCCTCTCCTGGAAACCCTAGTTTGGTGTTGGAGGCCAATGGTGTTGGAGGCCATCCATATCACAAGTGCTCTGGGTCTCAGCCTCTTCCTCTGCTACTTTGCAGAGTGCCTAAGTGGACACGTGCTTGGCGAGGGGACGTGCTGCTCAGGGAGTGTGTGGACAAGGGATGGGACTTGAGGATGGAAGAGGCGCAGGTGCTTTAGACCAGCCTGAAGGCTGCAGGGTCAGCCTTTCTCACGGCGTTAGCATGCAGGGCACCCTGAGCTGCTTCCCACCCCCTCGAGCCAGGCCTTACTCTGCGCTCTGCTGCGCCCACAGCAGGTTGGGGCCCAGCACGATGGCGATGTTGCTGGGGGTCATTTTATTCAACTCCTGGTGTTCGGCCAGCTTGGCTAAAAACTTGATCAGATACCTGTGGGGTAAAAGGAGGGTGAGGGGGCAGTAAGTACAGATTCGGGCAGGGAACAGCTGCCCCCAGTGATTGCTTGGGGACGAAGAAGCCCCATCCCTGCAAAACACCTCAGATTGTTGTAGCTCTCCCGGGGCAGGCGGCTGCAGGTGTCTTGCAGGCTCTGTACGCGGCTGTCAACGTCCTTTAAACTGCAAGAGAGAAGAGGGAGGAGCAGAGAGCTCAGCCCGCTCCCTACGGCAGAGAGGGAGATGGCATGCAAGGGAGGAAGGCCAGTGTCGGCCACCCTGTGCAGGGATGGAGATGCCCTGCTAGGCCCTGCCTTTACTGGGCAACTGAGCCAGGCATCAACAAAATTGCACCCCAAAGGCTCAAAGGGATTTAATATGATATGAATATAGCTTGTGGGTGGGCCTGGGGGCGAGCACTGCCTTGCCACAAGCAACAACCCTATTTCACCATGACTACGGGGGTCAATGGCACTGAGCAGATCCCTTTAGAAAGGTGCTTTCTTCCTTCCCCCAGGCTTTTTGCTCTCCCTCCTCTGCCACCCCTTCCATCCCGAAAGGAAGAGGCCAAACTGGGCTGCTGGGCCGGTGAGATGGGGCTCACACCATTGAGGCCAAGGGGGTCTTCATAGGCTAAGTTCTTCTTGCAATCAAAAAGGCTGCAGCCTTCCCCCTGCCCTGCTGTGTTTTTTATTGCTGTTCTCTGAGATTTTGGGCCACCTGGATTTCTGCTGAGCATGGGACAGACCAGGCTCTGCATTCTTATCTCCCCGCGTGGCAAACGAGGCCGAGCAGCCCTGGTCCGAGCGCTGGGGGGGATAGAGGGAGGGTGGCAGGGGGGCTTTTTGAGCCCCACCAGGCTTTTCCGCCCCAACGCCCGGACCCACCTGGCCACTTTGACCCATTCGTTGTAGAGCTCGAAGGTCATCAAAGGCTGGGGCAGCTCTCGCAGGTAGGATTTCAGTGCACCTGGGAGGGGAGGGGGAGTAGTGGGGGTGATGGTGGTTGGGGGACAGCAGGGACTGTCTGATTGTGTACCCCCATCCCACCTCACCGGCACCCACCGGCCACGGCATGGGGGTCCGAGTAAAACTCCTCCAGGGCATTGGAGCCGCTGGCCAAGCTGCTCTTCAGCTTCCTCAGCACTGAGGCGCCCGCTGCCAGCCGGAAGAGTCCCTGGGGATGGGGTGAAGAGCGAAGGGATGCAAGGGGCTGCATTTTGGGGGGAAGGGTGGCAGCGGGGTCAGGAGCGCTGCCTACCTCCTCCCTCATGCCGGAGGCCAGCAGCATCATGACACAGGCTTCGATGGGCAGTGCGATCTCCCGGCCCAAGCTCTTGAGGTGTGTCTCTAGGGGCACGCCATAGTACCCCACCACCGGGGCGTCTGCAGCAAAGGAGGGCTCTGGAAGAGGGAGGTGAACGTCAGGAGGGACAGTGACCGCCGAGGCCACCTGGCATCTAGCCATGCCAACATCTCGCTCCGAGCCATGGTTGGCTGGGTGGAAGCAGAGGCAGGGCAGCCAGCATCCCCAGCCCATCTCAGGCTGTGGTCCCCATCCCATCAGCCCAATGTGGGAGGCAGCAGCAGGCACAGGGAGGGAAAACCTGCCTTTCCCAGCCTCACCAGCCACACTCGCATCCCCTGGGCTCAGCTGTGGCTCTCCCCAGGCTGTGTGGAGAGCCGGCGGGTACCTGTCTGGCTGTGGCTTTCCTTCAGCTCTGCCAGAGCCGAGTCCAGTGATTCCAGGGACTGCCGGTGATACTGGGCTTGGATTTCCAGCAGCTGCCAGACAGGGAACATGCAAACTGTGCTCAGTTCAGCACCAGCCCCTCTTGGAGAGACCCCCATCCCCAGGACATTGCATCCACATGGAGACAGGACGAAGGGCGAGCTGCAAGGGGAACTCCCCTGGGGTTTGTGGGACCATGGCTATAGTGAGGGGTAGAGGGCAAATTGGAGATGGGGGGGAGGTCATCGGGACAAGCTGCTCTGTTTGCAGTTGGCGCTAGTGGCAATGTGCACCTGCAGTGCATGGAACAAGGACGGCTTTGGGCATCTGCTGGGGCTGTCCCCTGCCCTGGCCAGAGGGCTCGGTGCGGATGGGGATAAGGCTGGGCTCACACATACCCCAGGAGATGTTCACATGCCGAGGAGGAGTGCGAGAGAGGACTTACTCTGATGAAGTAGCTGGCGTAGCTGTCCTCTTTGGTGGAGAAGTGGTAGAGGTCAGCCATGTACTCATCCTGGGAAGGGAGACACAGAGAAGAGCAACCTTCCACCTCCTCACTGGCACCCAAGGAAAGGGGATATCTTCACAAAGGCCCCCGTCTGGGCCATGAGTCACCCAGACAGGGTGTCCAGGGTGCGGTGGGGAGGCAGGCTGGGACCACGTGGGGATTCCTCCTTGCCCCCATCGCTGGCATTTGGGTAGTGTCAGCAACCTGCCCTATGATCAGGGTCCTGGCACAAGAAGCTCAGGGACAAGAGGTCCTTGCACCTCCAGCTCCAGCAGGCCCATGGGATCCACCAGACAAGGTGCTGGGCTTTTCAGAGAGACAGGGCAGAAGCGGAGAAAGCTGATGTGAAAGTCCCCTGCCACCCAGCACAGACCCCAGATCAGCCCAGCCCGAGGGGACCCCATAAGCTCCCTGCTGTAGCCCCTGGAGCTTCCTCTGTGCAGCAGCTTGTGCTTTGAATCCTTTACTCTTCTTCCCTGGGCTTGGGTCATCTCCCTATTTCTGCTCCTTGAGGGATCGGTTTGCTTGCAGAGGGCAGGATGTGCCAGCTGGCTGCATCTGCCTTGGTGCGGGGTCACCTCGGATGGAGCCGCTGGAGGGGAGCAGGTCTCCAGCCCTGGAGCTGCCCCATGGGGGAGAGCCACTGACATTCTCACCTTGCACTGCTCCACCTTCCTCTTCACCTCTTCCTCCTCTTCCTTCAAGATCTCCAGTTTGTTGGCAGCAGAAGACGCCCCGGGGCCAGCGCCAGCACCAGAGCTGTTACTGGAGCTCTTGGCAGCTTGGTTCAGCCTTTGGGGTGGGAGAGAAGAGGTACACCCACAGCCTCAGCACCAGGGACGTGGGGTGGGCTGGGTGTGCAGAAGGGGTATGGGGATCACGACAGGGACGGCAAGTCACAGTACTGCCCTGCGGTGGCTTTCCTAGGCCAGTGCCTCTCACTTTCCTCCACAAGAGGAAGAGGCTGACGCACTAAGGGGTGCGACCTGGTTGAGACAGGGGCACTTGGCACAGCTGCCTGAAACACCCAGGGTCTGTAGGACCCTTCCCAAACCCTGTTCCTGAGATGTTCCCTCCTCTCCTCCCTCCAGCCAAAGGGAGAGCAGTGTGGAAACAAGCCACCAGTGAGCCATGGCTGCCCCACGCTCCCAGAGAAACCCAGCATGGCACAGGCTACCCCGCAAGAGTCAAAGTGGGGCAATCTCAGCGGCAGGGCACTTTGCTGCCTTTGGCAACAGCACTGCCCTTCTCTCCTGTGCCACGGAGCCAGCGGCTCAGCGCAGAGCAGGATGCACCCACAGAGAGGCGCTGACTGGGTGCTCCTGAAGAGCTGTTGCCTCTTTGACTTCACCTCCAGCCCTGGGAAATCTCCTCCCCAGAGCAGTCATCTTCCTCTCTCCCCCAACCTGGCTGGGCGCTGTGCCCCATGTGCCCTTGTCCCCCCCAGCCGCAGTGTGCCCTGTACCGGCTCTTGATGGTGTTCCAGTCAGAGATCAACTTCTGGAGAGTCTTCTTGTGCTTCAGGATGACGGGAAGTTCCTCCTGTGGGAGAAAGGGGCCAGAGGGAGTTGCAGAGGCTTGGGAACGTGGGAAGGAGAGGTGGGATGGGAGAGTGGAGCTGGCAAAGGCGGCCAGGGCTACCTCGCTGAGCTTGTTGAGTGGCTGCAGGACGTCACGCTCCAGGGCAATCTCAAACTCGGCCAGGATTTTGGCCAGTGAGCTCTGTATGCAGCAGCCCATCTCCAGGGCTTTCCTGTGTGGGGGACAGAGATGAAATGACTGTGGGCTGGAGCCATGTCACCCTCTGACCCAACACCCCGCACTATACGCATACACCCACGTGGGACCCTGAGCCAGCCCCTGTCCCCCTCTGCAACTGGAGGCTGAAGGCACTGGCTGTTCCTTCTCCATCTGCAACACCAACGTTTGTTCTGAGGACAGGGTTTGACACCTCAGCTTGACCGTGGGAGCCCTTGAGCCAAGACAGTGGCTCTGCCAGGGTCTGGCATCTTTCGGGGTCACCCCAAGCCCTTTGTCCCACCAGCACTTACCCCAGGCTGGACTCTGTGTCCAGTTCCTTGAAGCTCTCGGCCATCGTTGTGGACAGAGCCATCAAGGGCAGCTTCTTCTGCACAGAGCCAAGGATTCAGAAAAGGGATGGTGAGCTGGGGTGTGGCAGCTCCCTGCCTGTGAAGCATGCCATATGGCATGGGAGCAAGTGGCCAAGCCTTGCGCCCTGGGGCCCAAGGAAGGGCCCTTTGGATGTCCCCTCAGCCAAAGCCATGATCTAGTAAGTTAAACAATGCACCGAGGCTCCATAGTTGGTTAGAAAACCTCCAGTCTTCTCTAAAATAGTTCCCTGTGGTGAACCATGACACTAATGGAGGCTGTCACCAAGCCCAGCCCTGCCATGGTTTCAAATGTATGGAACAGTTTAATCACCAAGAATAATTAAGCCAAGCTGGGGCTTGTCAGGCTGCCAAGAAGAGAAGAGCCTGCAAAATCATGGTGGGGCTAAGGAAAGTGCAGGGGGATCCACTGTTTGCTTCCCAGATGAGGGCTTGTCAGCACCAGCCAGGAAGAGGGTGGCAGGTTCAAACCAAGGAGGAAGAAGTGGTGGCACCACTGTGCCCAGCCGGGCTGTGGTGCTCCTCACCACAGGGCACCATGGGTGCCAGAGGTTCACAGGGGTTCAGGAAGGGACAAGGACAACAGGGCTTTGGAGGGCTATTCAATGGAAAAATGCCATCTGCGTCCCAGGAGGCCTCAAGTTCGTGATGGTTGAGAGGGTTGTCCTGCTCTGCTCTACCTGGGCACCTGCTGGTGGCCACTGCTGGAGATGAGACCTGGGCTGGGCTTTGGGCCACCCTTTGGCAAAGCCTGCAAAGCAGGGGCCTGGCATCCCCTTTGCTGGCAGGGGGCAGAGCCAGGGCGAGTGTGGGCTGTGGAGGGAGGACTCCACTCACCACTCGCTTGTCCATCTCGGAGCCGCATTGCCCCTGCAGGCAGGCTTGGAGCCTCTTAGACACGCTGTGAGCTGCTCGCTTGGCCGGCTCGATCCTCTGCTCGATCTGGCGGTGGAAAGGTGGAAATGGGGAAGCCCTGTCACCAACCGTGGGCACCCCGAGGCCATCTCCCCACCACCCAGCTCTGGGCATGGGTGAGCCCACCCAGCATCCCACCGCAGCCCAGAGCATCCCTGGTCCAGGGAAAAGAGAGCACAGCTCCTGGTCAGGATTCATCCCTCTGTGAGCAGCTGGGGAATCCCTTTCCCATGGCAGGAGCCTGCCATTCCCTGAACACCATGGTCCTGGAGCCACCCTCTGGCACGTGGGCAGGTCCCAGTCCTGTGACTTGGACGTGACAGCAGGGCAAATCGCAGGCAGGAACAGGGCAGGTTCCCACACCCAGGCACAAGCAGACACACGCCTGCCAGCCCAGCCCAGCCCACGCCTCACCTGCAGCAAATCATCTGGCAGAAGCTCTGTTGCTTCTTGGGTTCTGCAGAGGAAGGAGAATGGGACATCAGCAGATGGGGATGACCTCCACCCAGCCTCCTTGGGAAGGCAGGTCCTCATGCATCCCACCCAGCAGGAGACGCTGGCTATGGCCTGGACCATTGTACACAAGGCTATGAGCAGAATGAGCCTGGGGGGACGAGAACAGCAGGAGCAGGGCAAGGCAGCCAACCTTGCTGGCTGATGGACACCCCATTAGACAGGGCTTCCAGTTCAGAGCACCAGAATCAAAACATCCAGATGTGGCCTGTTTTTTGGAGACAGGGTGCCTAGTGAGGCCACGGCAGGGGTGGGATGTTTGCTGATGAAACCTTCTACCCCTGACTGCCCACCTCTCCCCTGAAGGCAAATCTAGGGCAGTGCTGTTGGAGCCCGGCACGCATCTTTGCAGGCCAGGGTAGCTGGAAGGTGTGGGGTCACTGGTGCCAGAGCAAGGATATCTTTGTTGTCAAGCTGGGGACTGAGGCCAACAGCAGCCCTTCCAGAAAGGTCTATGTGAAACCAGCTTTCTGCTTGGTTTTGCAGCAGGTATTAGGAGCATATCTGGGAAAGGAAACTTTTGGCATGCAGCAAATTCTGCTTCAAACCAAATTCAAAACCCACCAGCCGCCATCACCACCAAACCTCCCTGATGCCGCCCATAGAGGAAACCTCGCTTCACAGCCTGCTGCCATTGCTACGCCCTGGGAACCCTGTTTGCTGTCCCTCTGCTGATGCTGCTTTTTCCCCAGTTCGTGTTTCTCTCTTTTCACTGCCCGCCAGAGCTGACGTGGGACAAGGCCATGGAGCCGCAGGAAACGGGGGTGGCTTGGTTGAAGGCAAGCAAAATCACGTGAGATTGCAGACCGCGGAGGAGAGGCTCTGCAGCGGGTGAAGAGCTTGCTCTTGGACTGCGCGAGCTGCTTGAGACCTCCTGCCTGCCTGGCATTAAACGAAAGGGAGGTGCATCCAACGTGGAGATAAGACTTCTTGAGGGAGGAGGGGTGGGAAAGGGGATCATGCTCGTCTCTGGGGAACGCAAGAAGAGCAAGAGGCCACCAGGATGTGGGAGCTGCTTCCCTGTGGCCGGTCTGCTGGGCTGGCTGAAGGACCTCTGTGGTCCAGGGGACATGGCTGGTCCCGCTCAGCCTCCCAATGCTGGGGAACCTGCGGAGGTGGCTGTAAGAAATAGGGAGAGAGGGGGCTGGGAAGGGAGGGCCCAGCCCTGTAATTTCAGTTCTGGGTTTTGCAAGGGGAGAGCTTTGGAAAGCCGAAGACAAAAATAAGGAAGCAGCGGAGGTAGGATGGGGCTGGAGGGATTTGCGTGAAGCTCTAAGTCCTCCATGGCTCCTCTGAGGATCCCCGGTCCTCTCCTTGAAGGGTGTCCTGGGACGCCCGTAATGCTGGGCCAGCTAGAGCTACGCAGGGCATCTGGCTTCCATGGGCCACCTCGGGCTCAGCGGGGAGGGCAGGTCCCAGCTCCTAACACCCTCCTGGTGACTGCACAGCCAAGGGCATGTGGCTGGAAGGACCCTCCCCATTGTCCTCACGTCCTGGGGAAGCCAAGCTTGGGAAAGGCCCATTTCCAGGTGGATGCAGCATCTGTGGGCCCTGGGAGAGGTAGCCGGGCTTGGGGATCATGTCCCTGCTGAGCAGCACCAGTGCAGCCTTCCTGCTGCCCTGCGGCTGCCGGGGAGCCACAGCCCCTTGGCTTACGCTGAAGATGCTTAAACCCAGGGTTGTTCCCCCTTTCCCCTTTTCCCTGGCCACCGGCCCTGGGAGGTCAGTCCAGCCCCGGTGCAAGCCCTCTGGGACCCACATCCCGCTCCCTCCCAGCCCTCCAGCACAGGTAGCGGAGAAGTCCTTACCGGCTGGTGATGTTGGGATGGGACAGCTGTTGCCGCATCCGATTAAACTGCCTCTTCATCATCTTGAGAGCTGGGAGGAGACCACGAGAGCCACTCTGCTTGGGTGTACCCGCTCAGCACCCCTCGGCGACGCTTGGCATTGGATGCCAGCAGCCCCCAAGCTCCCCAGAGCTGCTCTGCCCCTTGCTTTTCCCTGAGGACCTCTCCCTCCTTACTCCTCTCCTTCCTCCTTCCCTCGTTCCCCCTTTTTCTGTTTCCCCGGCTGGTCCCCTCCCTTGTCCCTCCCTGGGGATGCCCTGCCTGCTTTCTCTTCCCCTCCCTTGGACTCCCTTCTCTCGCTCCCTCTCTTTTTTTGAGCTTCCTTCCTCCTCTGGCTGCCCCTCTGCCGCAGATCAGGTAAGAGCAGTTCAGGGCTCCTGCTCCGCTCTGTGTTCCTGTCACCACCCCACAAGTATAAATAACTTCAGCCCAGCCTTAAAGGGGAAATATTATTACAGCAAGCACGTAACAAGGCAGGACAAGCACACGCTGCTGCCAAGCCCAAGCGAAGGGCCCACACTCTGTTTCTTGCTCTCTGTCTCAGCCGGGGTGGTTTTTCCCCGCCTTGCCTTGCCCACCACCAGCTGCACCGCGGGGCAGCCCGTGGCCATGCCAGCTGGCTGTGCAGCACATACGGGGTGCCTGATGTACACCCTGCCCTACCTGGTCACCCAAACACTGCCAACACCTCTCGGGCACCTCTCCATGCTCGTGGGCACATCTCCAACCTCTTTCCCCCCATGACACGTCCCCCTTGTCAGGACAAAAGCGGGAAGGCGAGCAGCAAAGCCACCCCTGCAACCCCTTCCGCGCTCCCCACCCCGCTTTTCCTCCCTGCCATCGCCGAGGCTCTTCGGAGCCACCGCAAAGCTGCGGCCGAGGACGGTTGCCGCGTGCCCTGGGGAGGCCCCCTTCCTCCCCGCTCCCCCGCTGCTGGCAGGGCTTCTCCGAGCGGGGCGGCTGGGCCAGGCGCAGAGCAGCAGCAACGCCTGTGCACGGTTGCACGGGGACCACAAACTCCCGGTTCTCAGGCTCGGGTGCTGCCTGCTCTCTGCAGAGCTGCACCAGGGCTCAGCTTGGTTTTTTTTTTTTTTTTTTTTTTTAAAAAAACCCCCCTTTGAAGTGTTAACTACTCTTCACTAAGGTGCGCGCTCTCTGCAGAGCTGCGCCAGGGCTCAGCTTGGTTTTTTTTTTTTTTTTTTTGGTCTGAAAACATCCCCTTCACACTACCTTTGCTCCTGGCTCTACAAGATGTAAACCTCGCCTTATCTCTGGGCTACCTGCAGCTGGGACTTTCCTCCTGCACTAAGCGGAGGTTGCTGTCGGCTGGGTTACGTGGCTGGCAAAGGAACTAGGGCCCAAGCCCAGACGGGAAGCGGTCAGCTTGTGGGCAGATGAGACAAGCAGCAAAGGAAAAAAGGGCGGAAGGGCCACTCCACCTGTGCCCTGAAGCCTGAGGAGCAATAATCTGGGGGCTGCCGGGCTCTGCTCCTTCTTGTTGCGGGGGCGAGCCTCCAGTGAGTGCATAGCAAAGCAGTGCTAGACCTCTGTTTTCAAGCGGGGACCGGACAAGCAAGCACCGTTCTCCCCGCCTGAACAGCAGGTTGCTCTAAACCTGTAGCCAAGCATGCCTGATCCCCTAGCCACGAGCCCTGGGGGTGCTCCTAACGGGTGTTGTGGTTGCTGAAAGCAGGCAAGGCCTTCGAGCACCTTTTGCAAAGACACAGAAAAGCCCCCCCAGATCCCCGCTGGCTGCATCAGGTGGCGGCCAAGCCATAGTCTCTTTCCTCCCATGCAATGTCAGAGACCTGCTCCCAGCCCCAGGCTGCTGCTTGCTGGAGCAGATCCCCCCTCCCTGTACCCCCTGCACCGAAACTGCTGCGGGGAGCCGCTTCCGAGAGGCAGCCCCGGGGGAGAGGAGGAAGCGCCGCCACAGGCAGCGGTGAAGCTGCGAACAGGAGCAAGCTCAAGCCCTGCTGCCCCATGGGCTGCGGGTCACCGACCCCTGCCCACCGCCTCTGCCCAGGGAGGGAGGGAAGCTGGCAGCGGCCAGTTCACAGCCTGGAAGTGACTCTGCTCTCAAACAGGAATTGAGAGCAGCTGGGGGACTTCCACCACCCCCTCTCCCTGCTCATGGGAGTGGGGAAATCATCGTGGCAAGGCCCCGGGTGACTGGGGGATGAGCTGCAGGATTGCAGGGGCAGGATTGGAGCTGGAAATGACCCTTTGCAGGGTGGAATCAGCTCCGTGGTCAGGGAAGGTGAGGGGAAAATGCATTCCTTGGGTCAAAAGGCAGAGGGACAGGGTCAGGAAAGAACTCTTTATTTCCCATAAATACAGCAGATTCTTCGCGCCGGGCGTATCGTTTTAAATCTTTTTGTTTGTTTGTTTTATTCCATTTACAGAATTTTGCACTGAAAATATATACAAGTCTGTTCAAGAACCAAACAAGATCTGCAAAGAAAAAACCCATACAAAACCCTGAAGAGAGACCAGAAAGGGAAGTAAGACACGGCAGAACCCCAGCATTAACACCTTGCTTCCCCCTCTCCTCTACCGCTCGCTACGCCCAGCTCCAACACCTCGCCTTCGCTGCCCCGAAGCTGAGAGCACGAAGCACCCCGCTCACCTCCGTCTCGCACAGGCCTCCTTCTACTTCTGGCAAGCCAATGCTTGCCTCTGCTTTTAAGATCAGGCCCTGTTAAAACCAGCTTAGGGTTGGGAAGTGGCTCTCGCGGTCGCACGTCCCACGGGGATGGGGATTGCTGGGGATGTGCCACCCCCTGGTCTCCTCCCTGCCTGCAGATCCCCGCTCTTGTGTCACAGTGATCGGGCGGCTGGGGCGAGCCCCCTCCCCGCCGCGGGGAGCCAGGCCTGCCCACGGCTGCGGGCAAAGGTGGGCAAGGCACAGCTGTACCCCCCCAGTGCAGAGCTGGGCTCCCAGTGCAGAGCTTACTGGTGCCCCCTGGTGTTGGGCTGGGCTCCAGCCTCTCCCCGACTCCCAGCCCATCACCTCCCCCACCGCCAGAAAACATTGAAGAGCTGAGAAAGCCCCCCACCCCACCAAGCTCTCCTGCCCAGCCAGGGGGGAGGAAGACCATGGGCTGCTTCCTCTCCCCGTCTGGCAGGAGGCTGCGGGGAGACGCACCCCCACCCCAGCACGCCCCTCTTTGTCCTGCGGCGGTCCCCAAAGCTCACTGCAGTAGATAAAGCACGGGGGAAGGGTGGGGGCTTTCTCGCTGCGGGGGTTTGGTGCCCAGGAGCCCCGGCTAAAGGGGACACGGAGGCACAGAGCGAGACCTTCCCAGCCCCTGGGCTCCCACCAACAGCTCCGCTGGCAGCTGGGAGGAGGGGGATATGGGAAGATGTCTCCCCTGATCCCCCTCCCCCAAAGCAAGGGCAGCTGCCTGCCCTCTGGTGCTGGAAAGACACCCAGTCTCTGTCCAGCCTTGTTCCGCACCAGTTCCAATGCGATCCCACCAGACAGGGAACCCCTGGGGCCCAGCTCCAAGTAGGGGGCAAGGGGGACAAGAGGGAGCACCACAGAGCTCGAAGCAGCTGAAGGGCTAGGAAGCATGAAGGGGACAGACAGGGAAAAGGATCTTCCTTTGCTAGGCCTTGCCCCAGGCTGAGGCTGTTAAAGCTCCCCAGCCTTGTTCCCCACTGCACCTAGGGGGAAAGCAGGGTTAGAAGAGAAGCTGGACAGACTGGGGAGGGAGTGATGCCTTCGGACGAGCAGGGAAGGCATGTTCACCCA